GTCAATATGGGGTGCTGTGTGTACATTAATGAGGAAAAAAATGAACTTAAATGATTTTAGCATATGGCTGCAATATAACAAAGAGTGAAAAATTTTAAGGGGGTCTGAATACTTTCCGTACCCACTGTATATGCCACCATTACACATCACTAACTTTGTGTCTCCTCTCTCCCGTAGCGTGTCCTCTCTCTCTCCTTGTACCTTTCTGCAGGTTGCCCTGGCTCTGGAGCTTTATGTTTCTGATGAGCAGTTACTGGCCACATCTACCTGACCAGTGTTTGATTGTTTGTTGTGTCTTGTTGCTTTTCTTCTTTTCTCTCTCCTCTATCCACTCACCCCAACTGGTCAAGGCAGAAGGTTGCCCACCAAGAGCCGGGGTCTGTCGGAGGTTTCTTCCGTTAAAGGGAGTTTTTCCTCCCCACTGTCACCAAGTGCTTGCTCAAGGGGGATTTGTTGGGTTTTCCCTCTGTAATAATAGCGATAACAGTAAGGTGTAGGCAACCCGCGGCTCTGGAGCCGCATGCGGCTCTTCAGCCTCCTTGCTGTGGCTCTCTCCGGGGAGACATGCTGAAACGCTTCGCTGCTTGTCTGGAACATGTGAAAACCTTCTTGGAAAGCAAAGGCCTCAGCTATCCCGAACTGGGAGACCTCGATTGGCTGGAAAAGTTTTATTTCATGGTAGATAAGACAAGTCACTTAAGCGCGCTTTCCCAGGGAAAGGGAAGCATGGCCCTGCAGTTGCTGGAGGATGTTCTGGTGTTTGAGCGCAAGATGACAGCATTTGCCAGAGATGTACAAAGAGGTACGTTCTCTCTCTTCCCCTCCCTGAGAGAGTTCAAAGAAGAGAATAATCACATAAATTGTGATTATTTACAAATTGCAATTATGGCAATGCAAGCTGCATTTGGAGTAAGATTCATCAGAAAGGAACAAAACACTCTGTCTTTCCCTGTCACACCGCTGGACATCGACCCATCTCTGCTGAACATATCCACATTCACAGAGATAAGTCAGCCTGATCTTGAAATTGAACTGGCTGACATAACGGATAAAGACTTATGGGTATCCAAGTTCAAAAGACTGACAGCGGATCTTGAAGAATTCGCCCGTCAGAAGGCCAATCTCGCTAAACAGCACAAATGGAATGATATTGAAAACCTCCCCAAACCCGACAAACTTGTTTTTGAAACATGGAGTGCCATTCCCGACACGAATATTTTAATATTAAAACAATAGCTACAGTGTTTGTTGGTTGCACTGTTAATCACTCAAAAGGCCAATTAAAAGTTAGCTACTGGTGCTGTACAATACACTGATCAGCCATAACATTATGACCACTGAGAAAGAAACCTGAAGAGGATGAGAGCACACTGAAATGGACTTGTCAAAAAATTTAATGTTTGTTTACTTTTTTTAAAACTGCAACTATATGTTTTTTTTTTATATTAAAGTGGGCTACGTTTAATTTGAACTTTTACACAAATATGGGAAGGACTCAAAAAGTAGTTCAGTGTTTAATGAATTTCAAAGTAGGCCTACACATGCACATTGCACTTCTGTTTGTTGTATTCTGTTGTTGTAACAGGTGAAATTATAAAAAGATTAAAATTTTTTAAAGTTTATAAGCTGTGTTATGTTTTGTGGCTCCAGACTATTTTTCTTTAGTGGAAGAGGGGGCAAAATGGCTCTTTTGATAGTAAAGGTTGCCGACCCCTCTAGACCTTACTCTGTAAAGTGTCCTGAGATGACTTTTGTTGTGATTTGGCACTGTATAAATAAAAATTGATTTGATTTGATTTCCAGTATGTTAACACTCTGCCAAATGTTCAAACTCACACGACTTTTGAAGGGGATGCGAGGTAACACACTAATTGGATAATTGCATGTTATGCCCAGAACACACCCCTGCTTTAATGAGGAGATCAAGTACAGCCCTTTTGCTGCTCGGACAGGCACTTGAACAGTTTTGCCTCATTGTCAAATTACCAAAATAAACATGGATACACCCAAACAGAACTTGTGCCAATACAACTTGATCAGATGCCGTGGATCCTTGAAATAGGGCCCTTGGAATGTCCTCTGCTGCTGTTGTTGCTCTCCTCCATGACTATTTCATAGATGCAATAAGAAAAATGGGATCCCAGACTCAAAGATGGTGCCCAGTCACTTGGAATGGGAATTGCTCACCTGGCACAGAAGCCCAAAGATTTCTGTAGCTTCCTGGTTTGCTTACATTCTGTGTGGCCCACTACATGTGCATATGTTTCTCCACTTCCCTTCACCTGTACAGCCCTGCTTGGCCCATAGGATTTACACTGCAATGGTGTCACAATTTAAAACCCAATTTTCTAGGCTCTGGACAGGTTTTGAGTGTAAAACCTTCATGGATTAGTAAGAGTATTAGTATTACTGTTGTTAGTATTAGTAAAAGTAATTGAACTGGTTTGCAGTTTGAGGTGCCCTGTCAACAGTTTTACAGACACTTCTTTTATCTTTGTTGTCTATGGAGAAAATGTTTTTGGGGGCTGAAAAATTGACTTAACAGCTGCACCCAGCTTTAATAATCAGTCTGTGAGGGGCCAACACTGAATGATGGTGACAGGCGATATGCACATGTACAAACAAGTGAGATGTGTAAAAAAAAAAAAAAAAAAAAAACAAGTCAAAAATGGAATATGAATTGGATCTAGGAACACATACACAAGTGGCCCAGATCTGATTTGGAAAACAGTGAATTTGTTCAGACATCTATGAAAAGGGTCACTTGGAGGAAAAATTTAAAAAAATATAACTTGCTTCAACAGGTAATGTGAACATAGCCTAAGTTGGACCCAAATGGACTAATTTTTACTTCTGACCTGACCCTAAGTGATCAAACTGTGTGGCTGGCATGGACAACCAGAATTAAGGTTCATTAAAATACTTGCTTTTTACTAAATTAAATTAAAATGTTGCCAAAAATAGCAGACAGATTAATAGATAATGTAAAACAGTTATTAGTTGTAGTGCTGCAGGGGGATGCTAGAAATACAGAGTGGCAAAAACAAACAAACAAAAGAAATTATGGCCTCGCTTAATATTTGTCTTTATTTACAGCTCTACCTGAGAGCGAGCCTATCCAAATCCGGCGATGACAGATTTGTCCTGAGTCCTGAGCTTGAGACCATCTCAGAACTCCTGACTCATTCAACTGTTGCCCAAAGAGGCTTCAAACCAGAACTTCTCTCCTCCTGGCCATGTGGAAGCTCCAAAGCTAATGGCTAACTCCTGCTAACAGCTAAGTGCACTCTGGCTAACTGATGTCTCATGAAAACCGTAATTAGCTATTAGTTACCAAATTAAAATCTATAACTTATAGCAATTGACAGTTATTTTGCCTCTCCATATTTGTGATTAAACCCCAGAATTTAGATCTAGAATCTAGCTTAAATTCTGACCAGAACAACTATCTTCCACCATTGCTAACAACAGACAGTTTGGTCATTCATTCATCAGAGCATTCACAAATGTACCATTTGAATCACGTGTTTCCTCCCAATCATTTCCCCTGTCTACATATTGTAAATAAATTTATTTAGCTTATAACTGGCTTCTTTAAGTCATTTTTGGGCTACTTCTGTTTCCAGTAAATGGGTCCCTTGAACTTTTAGGATTCATTATTTTCAGACTTAGACTGATTTAATTACTCTAATTATTTAATAGTTTGGAGGAACTATAACTATCTTGTGCTGTAATCTAATAAGGTATTTGAATTTTAAATATTAATATTCCTTTTCATAAGTGTAGTCATTTCCGCTACAAAACGTTTTAGTACTATAAGTTATATAAGTTACACTTTGTGACCACATTGGTTACTCTTTATACTTTTTGCTCAATAAAGGAGCCCATATTTTCCAAAAAATGCTTCCAAAATGTGTTTTCCTCAAAACATTTAATAAAAGAATTTAGCTTGTCTTACCTGGCCCTTAATAATATGCATGAAGCGTGACATTAATTCTGGACACTCCAGCAGGAAATGGAAGTGGTTAAAGATGATCTTTGGATTCCTGATGAAGAGGGAGACGAGAGATGAACAGAGAAAGAAACAACACAGCAAAAAGTGACTGAACAAATGAAAAAGTGGAAATAAATTAAGAGCAAAGAAGGTGCAGGCTTGTTGATTTGATACCTTGTCTCTAAGTACTGTAAGAGGAGGCTGATGTGTTGGCAAAGGGCTACACTTACTTACCTGGTTACAAAACACTTGAGAACCTCATCATGCTTGCAGACAAACTCTATGAAGCGAGGGGACGTCATTCTGGGCAAGGAAAGAGGGAAATGAAGATTGAAGAAGACAGAGGAAGAAAGGAAAAGAATTCAATAACAGCAACATCCTAGAAGCAATATCTGTTTCACAGTTAGATGGCTAATTTCTATCTGAGATGGCAAAATCTCTTCAATGAGAATGATGGGTCATAAAAGAAGAAATCTCTCATCCCTTATGCTGATGGACTGCAAGTTATAACAGGCAAGTACAACAAAGAAAGACAGCTCATTTCAACAAATGTGTCAATAACAGGCCTCTACTGGCATTTAATTAAGCATCTTTAATGATCTAATTACACATAATTATTAACCTGGAGAAGGGCTGATACAAAGAGAGAAATGTTGGAAGAAACTGGAGGTAGCTGAAGCAAGGCTGGTCACATTGTGAACTATAGGGAGGCATGTGATCTCTCCCAAATTCATTCAAATTCAAAAAGCCTAAACATCCACCCAGAGTCATAAAGAAATATGTTCAAAGACAAGAAGAACACAGAGTCCTGCAGCAGATGGTTTGACCCTCAATTCAGCATCATGGAGTCAGTCTGGGATTACATGAAAAGACAGAAGGCACTCAGACAGCCTGAATTCACAGGAGAATGGTGGTACCATCTCCACGATGGTGGAATGACCTTCCTGCCAAGAACTTTGAAAAACTGTGTGCAGGTATACTGAAGAGAGCTAGTGTGTTTTAAAGAAAAAGGCTAGTCACAGCAAATACTGACTTTTCTTTTTGCTGCACTTTGTAACAACTTAGTTTCATCAGTAGGTTTGATATAGTAATGTGGTAGATTACATGATTTTTGTAGTATCAAGGGCATAGTTTTGCCTATGGACCGCAGGGACATGTCCCTACCAATATTTTGGGAGAGCAGAAATGTTCCTATCAATATTTGAGCACAGCAGGGACCGTCTACAACAGGGGTGGGCAAACCTGGTCCTCAAGTGTCACTGCCATTCCCACTGCTGATTACCTGGATCAGGAGTGTTCAGTCGATCAGAAGCTGGAAGACACCAATTCACTTTGTCCTTCCTCATTCCATGGCATCTTAGATGAGGACCAGGATTGCCTACCCCTGGTCTGCAAAGTGCAACACTGAAAAGAGAGAGGCCTACTACAAAAATATTCAATAACTTTATTCTTAACCAGTATAGTGTCACCAAAATCACTTCACACATTAATAGCCAGCTGATGACTGCACAACAACACTTACTTTGAAAAAATATGCTTTGGTTTAGTTTTGGTGAATTTTTATTGGAAAAATAGTCAATAACTTCACTGTTAGACAGCAGTGTCACCAAAATCACTCATAATTATGGACAGGCTAGAAATTCCATAATACATGTAGGAAGCAGCATCAGGCAGATGAGTGAAGAGGTGCATCTTCAGTGTATCAGGTGAGGCTGTAATGAGGGGGTGGGGGGACCTTGCTGTTAAACAAACCCTCTATAATGTCCAGAATATTCCCAGTGCACAACAAAGACAAAATGTAGTTTCCCCCCCACTGTATTATACAGACACTATGTACAAGACAACCACCACCAGTCCTACAAACCCAGAATCACTCCCTCAGTTCAACAACAAGATTCCCTTAAATCCAATATACACACACACACACACACACACAGACACCTGAGTCTTTTGCACTGCAAGCTTCTGCCAATAGCTGATACGTGGGGCAAGCATCAGGGCCCACCAAAAATACATGGAGTGATCCTCCTGTCTGATTATCCAACTTTGTAAAGTTTTCTTCGTCTCCATAAGCTGATTTACCTCCCGTACAATGCCAACTGGTGAAGACTGCTCCCAGGTTTGAACAATGAGTTAGCGGTGTTCAGCTGTCCAAATTCCGGCAGGGAAAAGATGGAATGTCTGATGGTGAAAGGATTGGGATGACTGCTGGAGACTGTCGACTGGAGGGTGCGGTGGATAAGAGAGGAAAGATAAACGTAGCTTACACAAACTTGATTACAGTGGTCAGATAGTGAATCAGTTTTCACCAAGGACTTCCAGGATTAAATGCCACCCCCCACACACACACACTCCCACACACAAAAAACATAAGAAAAGAGCAGTCCTTGTCCTTACAGCAGTTCATTTCATAGATCCTCCTCCCACTCAGATCATTTTGGTGCTCAGAGGAAAGCAGGGATTCTGCTCGGGTGTTGGTTGCACAAAGGAGCACAAAAGTCTCTACCTACGTCCATCCTCTGAGCCAGTGAAGACACAGTGGATATTGTATATTTATTGGGGAAATGTTCCTAATGATATCTCTAACATGTTGTATGTTATGTGCCAACACTAATAATTTCATGTCAGAATGCTTTCTCCATGAGGGTCAGTGATTTACAACACTGGATTTACTTCCAGTGAAAAAAGTTTAAGGTCTCCCAGATTATGAAAAAAACATTTATCCTAACTAAAGGTTGAAGTGTAACCAGCAAACAATAGTGACGTGTGACATATTCTTGGTAACACTGGATAAGAATAAAGTTATTGAATATTATTGTAGGCCTCTCTCTTTTCAGTGTTGCACTTTGTAGACAGTCCCTGTGCACTCACCTCACAGCCAGCTGCACATTGAGACCAATGTTATTTGTCTGGAGCAGGGGAGGGCTCATTTTGATAAAAATGAGTTGTCTACACTACTGTGAAACAAAGAGGTTCCATTTATATTTTAGCAATGTTTCGCTATCGACCTGGAAACTTTGAATCCACGAATGTCTTTCCTACTTTACCAGAGTCGGCCACTATAACATACTGATGTCAGCACTCTGACTGACAGCTGTCACCTCTTCTGTGTATGGGAGAAAATATGACATTTGTGAGTAAAGTGAGCTTTAGATCACCCCCACCCTTTCAGTAGGTCAAACACATCATAATGATATAATATGACTTCACTCGAAAGATGATGTGCATGTTGTTTGCACAAATATTACTAGGGACATTTCTGTCATCCAAAAATACTGGTAGAGACATGTCCCTACCGTCCAAAACTGTGCAAAACTATGCCTTTAGCAAGGTCATTTGTAGTGTTTTACTGGTAAGCTTTCTAACATCAAAGTTTGTCAGACCACTTTCTGACTGGCACCCCAGCTATATAAACCAGAAAACCACCACAAGCCACACTTAATTAGTTATTTATAGGAAGTAGTAGCTGCTGTAGTAGGAGTAACAGAAGTAGGTATGAGTGGTGATGGTAGCAGTGGCAATCTGTATACTAGGGCTACTTGTAGTAATTTGTCAAATGAATGCAGACTATCCATAGAGGTTTATACAACTGAAGCAAATATATGTCCTTGCAGTCTCATGGACACACTGAGCTGCACAGATTAATGCAAGACAACTACCAACAGGACAGAAACTCAGACTGTCTACAGAAGACACATCTCAGCTGTGTTTTTCAGTCTCCCACTTCGCATGAACATACAGCATGTGCATCTGTTTTAATCACTACAGCTGCAAAGACAGCTTGAGTTGCACCCAATAGTGACCAGCACACATACAGTAGCTAGGTGATTTTTTAGCTACAAGCACTGCCAAAATGCATCTTAGACAACTGTAGTACTATGGCTGAACATTTCTGATGTGACACTGACCAAAGTTCCTTCCCTATTTTCACAACATAACCAATATAAACACAATACTGGACTGCTCAGGTGGAAATAGAACTCATGAAATACTACAGAGACAGCAGCAGTAGCAAAAGGAAAGAGGTAAGA